GACCAGATGCAAATTGGATAAATTATCCATAGTATAATGTGATTCCAGTTATTTGTCTCAGAGGGGTCTCTATTTCCTTCTCCCACTTTTGAAAAATCCACAAATACCCCAAGTGGGAAAGAGGGTGCAGAGTGAAGACCCCACTGGACCAAGAGTCATTCCCCCAAGACCAGAGGATCCCATCCCCAAGGCAGACATCTCGGGGCTTCCCTGAGTCCGCTGGGCACAAAGTCAAGTAGAAAAGAAAAATTGTTCATGATCCCTTTTCCTAGCACTTAACTCACTTTATAATTACACATTCATTAGTGTGATTATGTGATTAATTATCTGTTTCCATCACCAGACTTTCAGCCCAGCAGGGGTCCCTATACACTCTCCTGTATGCCCAGCCCAAAGTGCCACTCAATAAATAATAGTGACAGCAAGACTGATGGAGTTATGACCCTGTGCCAGACAGTCTTTCAGGGGCTTTGCAGGGATTATTGCATCGTTCACTCCTCACAGGGACTCTAGGAGATAAGCGCTGCAATGAGCACGAGGAAACAGAGAGGGTAGGCAAGCTTGTTCAAGCTATCAAAAGGGGGGCCAGGGTTTCATACCAGACAGTCCGGGTCCAGAGCCCACATTCTCAATCACAGCCAGACATTTCTTCTGCCCCTTGAATCAGAAGCGAATGCACATCCCCAGCTCTCCGCTCAGTATCCTTAGCATGATGCTGAGTTCAGTGCATAAAGAAATAAAGAGAATGTCCTGCCAGAGTGCCCCACTGAATCTGAGATGGGGTGCAGCCTCAGCTAATCAAGAAAGGGTTACCCCACACCTCTTGGATGACAAACGATCTCGTGGAGGAAGCTGCTTCCAACCCTGGGACAAGTCATAATTACGTTATAAATATTATAAGACTTATGTAGTATAATATGTTGCATAAATATCATGTTATATATATAGAAAAGTATTACATTTACATAACAGGTTACATTGTATAAATATCATGTTACATAGATATGTATTATATTGTTTATATAATATGTTATATTGTATAAATATTATATTACACCGGTGTAATCCTATGAAAGCTCTATTTATATAATATGACAGAATATTAATATATTTTATATAAAGATTATAATATATGTTATAATTATATACGATTATATAACATATAGTTGTATTTATAATTAAATAGAGAAACATTTATGTAAATATATTAATATAATATCCATAATATCGATATAATAATCTGTTTATTATGATGTAATCATGTATTATATATAATATTGGTATAATATTATATAGAATTTTATATTAAAATATAGTATATTCTGTTAGAATTTTATATTATAATATAAATCTTCTATTTTATTAAATATATTAATTCTACAATATTACATATTAATTGAATTTATAGTAAATATTTAAAGTTATATATATTTTATGTAATATATAATACATATAATTACACATATAATTTATAATTAAATATAGAAGCATTTAAGAGAATCACACTCACAATATTTGCATTCATAAGATGGCACATATTCCATATTTTAAATATTTTTAAATGTTTCAGAGACATTGGCCTTTGAGAGCAGCTTCAGCAATTCCTATCTAATTGAAGAACTCATTCGAGTTGTGATCTTTGAGGTGAAATACATACACTGGTCTTCATGAGAGGAGGCTGGGCCCTTGGGCTGACGGATTTCAACCCTTGACACCAGGTCTGCATGGCCTGGTCACTGTTAGTTGTGGTTGAACAGCTCCTACCAATATTCTGTTCATAATGATACGTATATTCTCTAAGATGATGTACACTTCCCCTGCAGCAAGTCCTGAGCCCTCCTCAGAATTTCCTTTCACTTCCATATTCCCACCAACAGTCTTGTCAAGGCGATCGTGGCTGTTTCTAGCAGGCACCTCAAAACACCTCCAGCTCCTACCCATTCCCTAATTCCAAAGCCACTTCTATATTTTTAGGTACTCGTTGCAGCAGAGCCCCACTTCCAGGGACTAACAGGTGTATCGGCTTGCTAGGGCTGCCCTAACAAAGTACCACAGACTGGGGGACTTAAACAACAGAAATGCACCGTCTCACGGTTCTGGAGGCTGGAAGTCCAAGATCACGGTGTCTGCAGGGCTGGTTCCTTCTGGGGGCTGCAAGGGACCATCTGTTCTAGGCACCTCTCCTTGGCTTGTAGACCGTCATCTTCTCCCTGTGTCTCTTCACCTCATCTTCCCTCTGCATGTATCAGTGTCCTAATCTCTCCATATAAGGACACCAGTCCTACTGGATTAGGGCCCACCCTAACGACCTCATTTTCACTTGGTCACATCTGCAAAGACCCTATCTGCAAATGAAGTCAATTATGAGGTCCTGGTGGCTAGGACCCCAACAAATACTTTCAGGAGGGACCCCTTCAATCCATAACAGTGTTTGTGTTCCAAACTGTTGAGTTTTCCGTCACTCTCTATGGGTTCATTGACATGTGACTTTGGGGCTGACAAATAACATGTAGTGGGTTTCTGGAGAGCACCAGTGACCCCTTTTCTCTACCCTGGAGTGCATAAATCACATCACAACGGACTCCAAATCAAAGTTGTTAAATTTCCAAACCTTTAATCCCAAATCAGACCACAGTGAGGTCAGACCCAGAGATTCTCTCCTCCCCCATTCCCCTGTTTCCCTGGAGGAAGTCTCTCCCACAAGCAAATACATCCAAATCTGTGGAACAAATAGATCCAACTCCCTCCCAAGACCCCCTGACCTCACCCTCCCCCACTCCCTAGTTACCCCATCAGATCCCCACCAGCCTTCCCTGCGGATCCTCGTTTGCAAAAATCCTCTCCCCGTCCCACTCCTAAGCAACCCAAATTCAGCCCCCGAGAAATACATATTTACGGAGAAAAAAGATGAGGGCGTGAGGGGCAGTTCTGTGCAAACAGCATGGGCCCCCAGAACAGGGAGAACACAGTTTCTCTAGGACATGGGGCCGAAGATTCTGAGGGGCACAATGGAGAAAAGAGAAGGGTTTGGGAGCTGCTTAGAGAAAGCACAACGGTGGCCCTAGGTGGCCCTGTGCCCCCACCAGGGCCAGGGAGGCAGGGTGAGCAGGAAAAAGAAGCCACTCCCCAGGATCAGGACCAAGCCGGCCCCCAAGCCACAGCCCAGAGACCAGGAGTATTCATAGGTCAGGGCCGGGGACGGGGGAGGCTCAGGGCTAACTCTCTGCAGCAAGGCTTGCACGGAATGGCGGAACACCTCCAGGCTGACCAGAAGCAGCAGGCCTGTGGGGAGAGGGGAACAGATGTGGCCCTCAGGCCCCTGGGGTCCCCAGCGGAGGTCTGAGCCTCTCCCCCAGTATACCCCATCACATGCTTACGCAGACGAGAAACCTGGGGGACCCCCTAGTGATGGGAACAGAGTAAAGGGACACAGTAGGTGATTACATAGTTAATCCCACTAGGGGACTGTAAGTAAAGAAAAAAAAGCATGGGAGATCCCTGTAAGTTAATGATCGCTCAAGAAAGCAGGTTCGCTTAACCACAAAACCAAGCAGGCTCGCTTAGCAACACAACCATGCAACAGAAGCCTGAGACATGCCCCCAGGCAATGAAACAATGATGGCCTGAGACCCACATCCTGCCCAGAGAGCTCAGGAAGTTAATGATTCCTAAGGTAACACTCCTCTGCGCACATTAAAAACAAAACTATAAGGAAAAGTTGCCATTATGCTGAAAGCTGAGATGATTCATCATATTCCAGATTATGTTACCACCTTTTTGCTCATTTCCATTGTGCCATGACAGTCCCAGTTTGGCCACGTAGGGACAAGAACACTGTCCCGCCTGACTTGGAGGCGGAGCTGAGGATGGAAGCTTGCCGTCTACTCAAGAATGAGGAAGGGGGTGGTCTTCTCCCCCTCCCCACTCTCCTTTGATTATAAAACTGTAGCCCACCAAGTTCTGGGCGTGGCACCCTCTAGCTCACCCGCTTGTAAGGCGCACAAGCATCTTATTCTAATAAATCACTTCTTATCTATCACTTGGCCTCTCGCTGAATTCTTTCTGCGCTGAGACATAAAGAACCGGAGCTCCTCGGAGACCCCCGAGATGCATTTCTGCAGTTTCACTAGCACCTCCTCAACAACTGCTTATTAAGCACCTACTCTTAGCAGGCACAATTTTAGACGCTGGAGAGAAAGAAAGAACAAGACACAAGTTCACAGAGACAGAAAGTAGAAGGTGGGTGCAGGGGTGGGGGAGAGGAATGGGGAGTTGCTGTTTAATGGGGGCGGAGTTTTAATTGGTGAAGTTGCAAAAGCTCTGGAGATGGATGGTGGTGATGGCTGCACAACTGCGTGAATGGACTTAACGCCACAGAAGTGGACACTTAAAAATGGTTCAAATGGTAAGTTTTATGTTAATGTGTCTTTCACCACTTAAAAAGAGGACAAAGCAAACCAAGGAATCAAGAATCACAAAAGTCAAATTAAGACTCCTTTAAGACTTCAGTAAAGAGTGATGATGGAATCTAAGTTGAAACCATAGAAGCAGAGAGCAGAATGGTGGCTGCCAGGGACTGAGCGGAGGGGAAAATGGGGAGATGCTGGTCAAAGGGCACAAATTTCCAGTTTGAAGAGGAATAAATTCTGCAGATCTAATGTACAGCATGGTGACTATAGTTAATAATACTGTATCCATAAAATTTGCTAAGAGAGTAGATCTCAAATGTTCTCACTGCAAAAAACAAGTTACTATGTGAGGTGATGAATGTGTTAACTTGCTTCATTGTGCTGATCACCTCATGATGTGTTAACTTGTTTCATTGTGTTGATCACCTCATGATGTATATCAAAATAAATCAAAACATCAAGCTGCAGGGGACTTCCCTAGCAGTCTAGTGATTCAGACTCGGCACTTTCACTGCCGTGGCCCAGGTTCAATCCCTGGTCAGGGAACTGAGATCCTGCAAGTTGTATACCTTATATACAATTGTGTATACATACATATATATATATATATATATATATATATATATATATATATATACACATATATGTGTGTGTATATATATATA